AAAATCGTCCAAAGTTGATTTCAAAACTTTTCAACAATTTTTCGCTAATATCTCGAAAACTAAAGCTTTCCGTCAACTATGCATAAGGAAAAGGTTGTCCAGAACCATGCCCCTGACAACATATTAAAAGGTCATTAAAATCGTCCAAAGTTGATTTCAAAACTTTTCAACAATTTTTTTCGCTAATATCTCGAAAACTATAGCTTTCCGCGAAATTTGTATATGAACAAAATTGTTCAGAATCATGTCCGTGATAAGATATTGAAAGCGCACTAAAATCGAGAAAAGTTTATTTCAAAAGTTGCCGGTTGTCTTGCAATAACAATACTTTGCAATTAAAAAATGAAAAATTTTTTGATGATGGTACCAATGGGGAGTCAGAACCTACCAGATGCAAAAGGTTTCGTTCCGATTGGTCCACCCAGCTAGGCGTAATTGGTGAACATACATAGAAAAAAAAATATACTGATCGAATTGAGTAACCTCCTCCTTTTTCGAAGTCGGTTAAAAACTGCTGTTATATAGTATCGCCCCATGGTCAGCAGGCCCTTGACTTTTATTACCCGACCTGAGTCGGCTTCAGCAATGTAAGACGCAAACAGGAAGGAAAATACGCAGGGAAAAATTCAAAATATAATCTAATTTCAATAGAATTAAACAAAGTAAAGCAGTTCCCTGAATTATCAAGATACCAGCTACTAACCTGAACCTAGCGGATCTACCAAAAACACAAATCGACCGATCAACACACAAAACCAAATTTCTTGATAAAAAAAACAATTTCTCTCACTGTAATCAAATTTATACCGACGGTTCCAAATTCGACTCAGGAACAGGATACAGCATTGTTACCGAAAATACAACAATAAAGCAGAGTCTCCCCAAAACAGCATCAATTTTTATCGCCGAGGCATACGCAATATTTGAAGCCTTGAAATACGCCAGCACCAATAACCTTAAAAACGTTGCCATTTTTTCAGACTCGATTAGTATAATAAAAGCCCTAGATACCCCAAACAGCAGTAATACTCATGAGATCATAACGAAAATACAGGAAGCATACACAGAATTATACAAAAAATGCAACACTGACATAAATATCATTTGGATTCCCTCACACCAAGGGATAACGGGAAACGAAGAAGCTGATGCAGCAGCAAAAGAAGCAGCAACGCTACCATTAACTGAAACAACCTTTCCGATTCCATGTCAAGACCTTACAAACCGCATAAAAAAAATTATAAAAGAAGACTGGAATAAAATCTGGACCACAATAAAAATAACAAAAATACACAACATAATTCGAGATTTCTACCAATAAATCCCAACGTGCAATTTAAACAGGAAAGAAAAATCTATAATGTCTCGACTAAGGTCAAGTCATAACAAAGATAACGCATGAACACCTAATAAAAAAAGCTGATCAACCCTATTGCAAATACTGCCCGACCGAAACTCTCACAGTAGACCACATTCTATACCAATGCAGAAAAACCGAACCTCAAAGATAAAAATATAAATTAAAGCCGGATACAGTCCTCACAGCCAAAGACCACATAAGAAACACTATAAACTTCCTGAAAGAAACCAGCATGTACATATGTACAACAAAATATAGCACCCAAGTATACAGCCGTCGCCAATGACCATGTAGTCGACGCGACGTTAAACACTTATGAAGAAGAAGAAAAAGTTTTGTGTCGTTTAGTTTTTTTTCCCATATTTTCTTACATCTTTTCCTTTGCCTGCATTAGTATGTGTTTCTCCGATATTTAATCGCCGTTTGACTGATTCCGAGGGGATTCCCCCAATCGTGGGGATAAAATTTTTACTCTTACGGTAGAGATCTTTTTCACACTTACGGAGAGAATATTATAACATATTATGAGAATTATACCAAGACAACAGATAACGAGAGTGATGACAGGTGTGGTCCGATTCCAGTGTAAGAAGTGGGGTCGAGTCGTGAAGAGGAAAATAAAAAAAAAAATATACTGATCGAATTGAGTAACCTCCCCCTTTTTCGAAGTCGGTTAAAAAGAAAGAATATCACAAGCTACACCAAAGAGATGTCACGGGTGTCCATACAAACAACGCACTTGAAGGGGAGACCAAGAAAACTTTATTATTTTGAGAGATTTTGAGGGAACAAACCATAAATCACATCATGATATCGAAATTCTAGGTGATCGAATGACCAAACGGGTGAGATCAATTGTATTAATACGGAATACGTCTGTGTAGGTGAAGTAATAATAGAAGATTTCCAGGATTCATCTGCCAAAAAGAAATGGCTCTACACAATCAGCTATGAAATAAAGTCCATTATAGAAAAGAAGATGTGGAAGTTAGTGGAACGGCTAACGAATAAAAATATAATTGGTAGTCGTTTTGTGTTAAGCGTGACGAGGGATATTAACGGCCAATTTAAGAAGAATAAGGCACGACTGGTTTCGAAGGGATTTTCGCAGCAACCAGATATTGACTTTACCGAAACATTCTCTCCAGTAGCTGGGTTCCTTCAGGTTGATAATGCATCTAGTATCAAGATATAATATAATCATCGAGCAGGCGAATGAAACCACTGCTCATTCAAACGGTGTACTTAAAGAGGATATCTTCATGGAAATTCTACAACACTTTGAAGAAGGTTTGGAGTTTTTAATTAAAAATGAGCCACACAACTGTAAAGTATGGAATACAGTAAAAAGAAGCTGCATTTAATAGTATACATATACAATAGTATTTAATACATACATATAATACTGTAGGGATATGAAAAAAACAATAGAAACCGTTGCCGAACGGTAACCGTTGGAAGGAGGGTAAAAACTTGTGTATTTATCAGTTGTTTAGGACGTTTGCAGAAATTGCTCACCTTTGGATATATAAATGGGAACATATAAACATCGCGAAAAGGTAATCAACCGCGAAAGTGATTGCGAGGGAGAAAGAATGTGTGTGTGAGAGAGAAAATACCATAAAGAGCAATAACCGCGCAATCTGTGTGTCCGCGAATGTGTAGACAATTTTTGTATATAAACCGTGGCGTAGCAAACGAATAGCTATTGCAATATCAGCGAACATATGGCGAAGAGACTGTGAGACAGCGGGAATTGTAAAGAGAATCGGCAAATAAATTTATCTTGGTTAGTCAAGAAATTACGAGGGATAGTCAACTTGACAAACCATATCCCTACAATAATATGTATATAACATTTTAAATCTATATTAATATCACAAAACGTAAAAAAAACAAAAAATGACATGGAAAAAACCAAGTCTAGCAGGGTTCGAACCTGCGATCAAAAAACATGCAGAGATTTCGAGGCAGGATTCCTAACCACTTAGCCAATCCTTTTGTCGAAATAGTGTCTTACGTTCCGGAATATAAGGAACTACATCACAAAATTAATTAATAAATGAATGTTATTTCTTAAACTAATATATTATTTGTATCAATTATGAGTGTGATTCTATTTAAGATTACTTAATGAGTACCTTTTTTATAGGAATGTATCGGTTTTTAATTTTTTTATCTATGGCGCATTTCACTAAAAAATCTGAAAAAATTAAGGGATAATAGTTGTACCAATGTCTAACTACCACATTAATATAAAAGTAGTACTCTGACATCTTCCATAAAAAGTCGCATGTTTTCCGATTTTCTTCGATTTATGATTTTTCACAACTACAATTTGTGATTAAAAAATCTGAAAAATTCTATAATATGCGCTATGTGGACCTCAATGTTTCAGAATTTTTGTATGAAATTAAATAGGCAAAATGAGCCAAAAACTGGAATTTCGTTTTTTGCCTTTTATTACCCCCACGGATGAGATAGGGGGTTGAAAGAAGTTCCACATCTGATGCTAGACCAACTATGGAGTTAATTGGAAGCCCTATGTACTGAAGGATAGTGCAAGTTTTCCAAATATATTCAGCAATACATATACTGTCCAGAGTACGAGAGAAAACTAGCGGGACGGGAACGGGGCTAGAGGGACGAAAAGAGCATCGCAGTGGTTAGATTGTAACGTTGCCGCCTTTTGTCACACGCATTTTCGGCAATAACACGCTATTTGTCGAGGCGCACACATACTAATCGGTCGCATGACGCGGAGAGTGGGTCAGATTGTACGAGGTGTGACACAAAAGTAACGAGACTAGTCCAATAAATCATTGTACCTGCAGAATCTGTTCTCCGTGACATTATCACCTTCAAAGTAGTCCCCTTCAGCATTCACACGCTTTTGCATTTGGTGCTGCCATTGCTGGTAACAAGTCTGGAACGAGGTTTTTGGAAGTTCCTTTAGGAGATTCTCCGTTTCTGCCTGAACTTCTAACTGAGGTGAAATGGGTTCCCATTAAGCAAAATTAAACTTTAGGAAATAAAGAAAAGTCTCATGGAGCCAAATCAGATGAATAAGGAGAATGCCCCATCACAGTAATATTTTTACTGGTCAGAAACTACTTGGCAGACAGTGCCGTGTGAGCATTGTCCAGGTGCAACGACCATCCATCGCTTCATAACTGTGGCCTTTCTTTCCAAATTTTTTCACTAAATCTTTTTAGGACTTTAATGTAATAGTATTGGTTAACAGTCTGACCACTGGAAAACCATTCAACCATTACAATTTCATTAATGTGGAATTTTGATTTTGATATGCGTGCTTCTTTGGGTTTTGGGGATCCTGGAGACTTCCACTCCATTGACTGGCGCTTACATTCTGGGTCATAGGTAAAAATCCAAATCTCATCACATGTTACAAAAGATTTCAACAAATTTTACAAAAAACTTGATGTTTATATGCTGTTCGACTTTTACGTTAGACATTTTTCCGGCAGAATGCAGTTGCACGTGTTCACTAAATAACACAATACTTCCAAATGGTATGCCCGATTCAATCGAAATTGGCAACATGGATAGAGGAGGTATGTGGGATGATGCCACAAAAAACAATTGCTGCCAATTCCATTGTTTTTTCAAGCTACAGACCTAGTCTCGTTACTTTTGTGTCACACCTCGTATGTAGAACAAGCGAGACAGAACGAGCGATACGTTGAACGGCATTCCATTGTCGTAGTGTCCAAAAGTTTTACGCATCGCGTAAGAGGAAAAAGATAGAGTTTTTTAACATATAGTAGCAATATCTGTTTCTATACCTATGTAAAACCACACTATGTAAAAGCTCCCACTGTTCATCCGTAATGGTGTGGTTTTACATAGGTATAGAAACATATATTGCTGTACGATGGCACAGCACCGTACAACTTAGGGTCGCTATACCTGCCTCATCATTAACCTCAACTCTTAAAAAGGCAATAGGAAAATACATTTTAGCATCCATCATAAAGCAATCCTGAAGTCATCCGTCCTAATCCCAATCCGCGTACCGCTACAGACCCATCATAAAATTTCCGGAAAAACCCAAAAAGTACCGTTTCCCTTGCCATCCCTACTGCCACCTTTTTTCCTCCACTCCTTCCTTCCACCCTTGTTAATTTCCAGAACTCCTAACCCAATCAAAACTCCAAAATTCCCTCTTTTTTACATAGTACCTTCCTCCTTTTCCCATCATCCCACCACAGACATCTCTCAATAAGTTTTCCTTCTTAGAAACACACCGAAACACAGACAAATCGAATTAAACATCAGAACAAGTAAAACATAAAATCAAATCAAATCACCGACATACACATTTGTAGCAATTAGAATTAAGAGTTAGTTTAAATAAACTAAGTGTTAAGTTTAAACACCAGTAATCTTTTAACACCATACAAACTCGTCCTCACGACATTAAATTGCCGTCAAGCACAGCGATCGAGTAGTAGCTCAAACTATATTTTCATTTACCACCAACCGAGTTCGCGATCGTACATTTTTGGTCCTTCGAGCCGGATAAGAGACGAAACTTCTTAATCCGATATCACACATCGATTTATTTACATTCTGTTAATGACAAGGGTCACCATAAAACTCACCTCATATGCTCTAAATCTAGAGTCGCTCCGCTCAAGGTTCAATCTTTACCAAGATTAGAACTTTGTGCAGCTCTTTTGTTAACCACCTTATACAAATCCACCATATCAGCCCTTAAAATCAAAATCAAAACCGTTTATTTTTGGACAGATTCCATGATCACTTTGCATTGGATCAAAACTCCTCCACATACTCTCAAACAATTCATCGCAAACCGAGTTAGTGAAATTCAGCAACACACCAACATTGATCAATGGCGTCATGTACCCTCAAACGAAAATCCTGCCGACATTCTATCCAGAGGTTCAACACCTACAACTTTTTTAAAATCTTCCATTTGGACCAATGGACCAACTTGGTTAAACCAAGATAAGGCATTGTGGCCTATAACAATATTAACACCTATTATTATTCCTGAGCAGCGACCAATTACCACTATAGTAACAACATCTAAACCGGAATTCAAAGCGGAAATATTATATAAATTCTCCAACTTTAACAAATTAATTCGAGTCATTGCGTATTGTTACAGGTTTTATAATCGTATTAACAAAAAGGTCAAAACGGTCGGACCACTCACCATACCTGAATTAGATTTTGCGCATGACATAATTATCAGGTTAACTCAGAAAGAATCTTTTCAAGCCGAAATTAACAGTTTAAAACAGGAAACAGGTAGCTTGCAAAAATGTCATTTATCAGCGTTGCAACCCTTCATTGACTCTTCCGGTATTCTTAGAGTCGGTGGTAGACTAATAAGTTCGGAATTAGCTTATGACCATAAACATCCAATTTTACTCCCTAACAAACACAAAGTCACTGATCTAATATGCACACATTTTCACGTCATTCATGGTCACGCTGGTACACAGAACACGTTAAACGCAATAAGACAGAAATATTGGATAATTCATGGTAAAATTGCTGTAAAGCGTATTATTCATAAATGCATATTGTGTTTTAAGGCTAAACCATCCATTCCCATATACCAAATGGGTACATGGCCCAAAGAACGTGTCACTTTTACGCGACCATTCTTAAAGATAGGCGTAGACTACTGCGGTCCTTTTTTCATAAAGGAAAAGAAATTCAGAAACACCAAGAAAATCAAATCATACGTTAGTGTTTTTGTATGTTTGACAACCAAAGCTATTCACTTGGAATTGGTAGGCGATCTTACTACTGATTCATTCATCGCAGCCTTACGGCGACTTTTTGCGCGTAGAGGTAAGGCTACTGACATTTACTCTGACAATGCGACAAATTTTGTCGGAGCCAATCGCACGCTAAAAGAATTGCATAACGCGATTTTCGCTGATTCGAAAGACGACATTATTAAACAATTTCTTGCCAACCAGCGCATCAATTGGCACTTCATTCCACCGCGAGCGCCACATTTTGGCGGAATTTGGGAGTCAGCGGTGAAGTCCGTCAAACACCACACCACTCGACTTATGCAGAACATACTATTTGATTATGAAACATTTATTACGTGTCTGGCAGAAATTGAAGCCATCCTAAACTCCCGCCCAATCACTCCTTTATCTTCCGATCCCGCTGATTTAACCGCTCTCACACCTGGTCATTTTATAATTGGTGATGCTTTGACTACGATTCCTGAGCGAGATGTTACAGAAACAAAGACAGGCAGACTCTCCAACTGGCAGCAGACACAGCAAATCCGTCAGCATTTTTGGAAGCGCTGGCATAAGGAGTACCTGAACGAACTCACAGTTCGACAAAAGTGGCATCGGGCAGGAACATCCAACATCCAACCAGGACAACTAGTTATCCTTAAGGAGGATAATTTGCCACCACTGTGTTGGCCTCTTGCGCGAATTACGGACATACACCCTGGAGAAGATGGAATAGTGCGGGTAGTCACGGTTAAAACCGCACAAGGGACATATAAGCGTGCTATTAAAAAATTAGCTCCACTGCCTATTGATGATACAGCAAATATTAGTAGTACACCTAACGAAACATGACATTGTATTTATATTATTATTCATGTATTTATCGATATGTTAATCAATATTCATCTTTTTACTATATGTAATATATTAGCGTTTAGAATATAAGCACACTTTTTGCATACATACACACATTTACATTATACACTATATTATGTAACTTTCAACATCTACACTTTCGATTATTTACATTGAACATGATTGTTCAAGAGGGGGCGGCATCGAATATAGTCCATGTATTCTAATCTACAACCACACGTTTTAAATAATTTTAACATTTATTATAATTAGGTAGAAAATACCGCGTTTTCATAATGTGGGAATGACTTGAAACTGTATTATTAAAATTTTAACTCAAATATGTAATAATTCTTCACTTCCTTTAGAAAAACGCTGTTTCTTTTAGTTAAAAGTCAGCTGGAATTTAAAATACTAACATCGTTAAGTTTAAAGGTCACTTTGAAAATATATTTTTTCTGTGTGTGTAATTGACTCTTTAAACAGTACAATTTTGTATCGAAAGGTACTTAACAATTTTTTTATACAAGGAAATATTTGCGTGTTCGAATATCGCGGTCCATACTACATATTTTAATATTAAAACCGATGCCATAATTTAAGTTAATTTGTAGTGATAATTATGAGAAATAGAAATGAAGTTATGGTTAGTTTTAATTAGGTTAGGGCACTGTTAGTGGTGAAGGTGCAGAAACAGGACTTTTCTGTACAATTCTTGTACGATGGCACAGCACCGTACAACTTAGGGTCGCTATACCTGTCTCATCATTAACCTCGACTCTTAAAAAGGCAATAGGAAAATACATTTTAGCATCCATCATAAAGCAATCCTGAAGTCATCCGTCCTAATCCCAATCCGCGTACCGCTACAGACCCATCATAAAATTTCCGGAAAAACCCAAAAAGTACCGTTTCCCTTGCCATCCCTACTGCCACCTTTTTTCCTCCACTCCTTCCTTCCACCCTTGTTAATTTCCAGAACTCCTAACCCAATCAAAACTCCAAAATTCCCTCTTTTTTACATAGTACCTTCCTCCTTTTCCCATCATCCCACCACAGACATCTCTCAATAAGTTTTCCTTCTTAGAAACACACCGAAACACAGACAGATCGAATTAAACATCAGAACAAGTAAAACATAAAATCAAATCAAATCACCGACATACACATTTGTAGCAATTAGAATTAAGAGTTAGTTTAAATAAATTAAGTGTTAAGTTTAAACACCAGTAATCTTTTAACACCATACAAACTCGTCCTCACGACATTAAGTTGCCGTCGAGCACAGCGATCGAGTAGGAGCTCAAACTATATTTTCATTTACCACCAACCGAGTTCGCGATCGTACAATTGCTACTATATGTTAAAAAACTCTATCTTTTTCCTCTTACGCGATGCGTAAAACTTTTGGACACTACGACAATGGAATGCCGCTCAACGTATCGCTCATTCTGTCTCGCTTGTTCTACATACATGTTCTACATATATCTGACCCACTCTCCGCGTCATGCGACCGATTAGTGTATGTGTGCGCCTCGACAAATAGCGCGTTATTGCCGAAAATGTGTATGACAAAAGGCGGCAACGTTACAATCTAACCACTGCGATGCTCTTTTCGTCCCTCTAGCCCCGTTCCCGTCCCGCTAGTTTTCTCTTGTACTCTGGACAGTAAGTACTTGTGTTTGTCGCTGATTCATGCGTGTTCGCCTCTCTCTTTCTCTCTTTCTCCCTGTCATACAATTAGTCATTCGCTCACTATTTTTGTCTCCTTTTTTCATACCTGCATAGAAATTACAAATAGGGAAGAGGTCAACATTCAGGTATACGTGACCCCCGGGCACATAATGCCGAAGTACAATTAAGCAAATAAACGTTGAGTTTAAGAATATTCAGCATCAGTTTTTCCATAACTTTTTACGAATATTGATATGGACGTCACAAGATTGTTATAAATATTATTAAAATAAGTATAATATAAATCGGTCTATAGAATTTAACATTAT